CCACCAGAGTTTCACATGTTTAAACTGAATTTTAAAGCATGACTAGTTCACCAGGCAGAAAAGAAGGAAAAGGGAGCCCCTAATAGAGTGAGCAGCCTGTGCAGAGGCTCCGCAGTGTGAAACAGTGCAGCTTGTCTGGAAAACTGCCTATGGCCTAGCCAGACTAGGACAAGGCAGCCGGGCACAGGAAGGGGCTATGTGTGCGTGCGGAGGTGAGACTGGAAGAGTCAGCAGGAGCCAGATTCACCTGGGGACCTCCATCCAGGGCAGCTGTCTCTGGAAGGCCAAAGGGCCAAGTCCTACCCCCAGGACAGCCCAGTCCCACCTCTAGTACCCTGAAAGGGTGGGGTTCTCCAAGAGAGTGACAAATCATCATCATCATCGTCGTCATCATAACAACAACAACAACAGCAAACACTTCTGGAGTACTCACTTCATGGCTCACAGCAACCTGATGGGGTGGGTACATTATCTCTCATTTTGCAGATAAGAGAAAAAGACAGGACCTTCCACCAACTCTCCAGCTGGTTAACAGGTAGAAAGCAGCCCAGGGAGGCATTTGGTCATCTGCCCTCCGTCTTCTCTATCCCACCCACCATGCCTGGGTCTGACCTGCGTTTTGCAGAGTGTGGGACCTCCCTGAGATGCCCGCCACCCCAGTGTGGCATCTGGAGCCCTGGATGATGGAAGGCCTGGGTTCTAGTCCCCAGTCTGCTCCCGCCTTGCTAGTGACTTCAACGTGGTGGTTTAACCTCCCGAGCCTCAGTTTACACTCCTGGGAATTGGGGATTCTAGTGACTGCCTTATCTCCTGATCCAGTTCCGGTGAGTGTCCCAGGGGTGAGCAGATAAAGAGGGCTTTTGAAAAGTACAAAGAGCTGTACTCACCACGGTGATTATTATTGTTACCTCAATGCGGAGATAAGGATGGGGAGGAGGTGCAGTGACAGTTGCCAAGAAACCCGGGAGCTGTCAGCAGCAGCTTCCTGCCTGGCCCATCCCACTCAGGAGCTAGGCCCCTGGGCCCTGCCCCCACACCCCTGCCTTGCCTTTTTCCTGGGAGAGATGGGTGCTCCGAGAGGCAAGAGAGCTGGGGCCAGCTGGCTGGCGGCCATGAATCTGCAGGGCCTGAAGGTGACCCAGGAATGTGCCTGGCCTGGACTCAAGGTTGACTCTGGCTTTCTCTGCGACCTTGAGCAAGTCACTTCCTCTCTGGCTAGCACCTTTTTCTGTGTCCACAGTGTTTTGTATCTGTAGGCAGGTGTCCAGGCCAGACAGGGTAAGATTGGAGCTGGACCTAGGGAAGATGCTTGGTGGTGGCTGCAGGAGCCAGGAGCTGTGATGGGGGGACCACTGGGGCTAGGCAGCAGGACTGAGGTTGAGAGCAGCTATGATGTGTGTAGGTGAAGAACCCCAGGCTGGAGTCAGACCTTGGAACTGCCCTTTCCCTGGTGTGACCTTGGGCTTGTCACTTAACCTCTCTGAATCTCAGTTTTCTTATTGGGAAAAAGGTTGATAATAGTCCAACCTCACAAAGCTGCTGTGGTGATCAAATGAGATAATGCCTGTGTAAACTGTAGAGTGCTATACAGATATATGACCATAGTCACATCAGGGGGAAGGCATGCTCCAGGCACCTCCCAGCTGCTGCATGTGCAGGAAGACTGCAAAGCATTTTAAGCTGGGCCAGGCCATAGGATCAGGAAGGTTGTCAGAGAAGAAGGGAGCGGGTAGAGGCTTGGGGGACCCCATGTGAATGGAATAGTGGCGACCAGGAGGAGACAAAGGTGGGATAGGAAAGAAAGAGAGAGTCAGAGAGGTTCAAGTTCATAAAGAGGGAGGAAAATGACCAAGTCTGGGAGGTCTGCAGAAGCCAGAGGCAAAGGGAAGGGAGGAGAGGGCTAGAAAGGTGAGGAAGAGATGGTGAGAAATGAGGAAGGCTGAGAGGAGGAAGAGGAGGTGTCAGAGGAGGCTAGAGGGTTGGGGAGGGAGGTGAGGGGCTGCGTTTATTCATTCCTTGCAAAGTATTTATTGAGCAACTTCTACTTACTAAGAGGCAGTATGGTGCAGCATTAGGGCACAGCATCGAGTACTGGATGGTCAGGGGTTCACGTCCTCCACATTTCATTTACATTTACTGTCAGCATGACCTTGGACAAATTGCTTAACTTCTCCGTGTCTTAGTTCCCTCCTCTGAAAGGTAAGGGTTAAGTTCATTTACAAGTGAAGCAGTTGAGGCAGAGCGTGCACATGGTACGACCTGTTGGCTGCCATCGCTGTTGTCACTATGATTATTACCTCTCTGATGTGTCGTGCTGGGTCCACAGGGCTGGCTGCCCATGCTGTGAAGTTCAGATCTTGGGCTAACAAACCTGGGTTCAGATGCCTGCTCTGCCTCATTAACTGTGTGACCTTGGGCGAGTTAACATACCTTCCAAGCTTCAGTTTCCTCATGTGTGAAGCAGGCAGTTTTGAGCACCAATCTCATGCGGGAGCTATGAGGATGAAATAAGATCATGCAAGGCATAGGTAGTCTGTGGCTTTTGTTATTACTGCCTTTCTATCCCTCAAGGCTGGGACCATGGGGGCAGGCAGGGCCCAGAGCTTCCGATTTCCTGCTGTGTCCTCATCCTGGATCCCATTTCTTCCCCTGATCTTCAGGACCTCAGCAATGACCTTTTAGGTAGAGTTGCCTGGGGGAAGGGGGTTGGGCATTGCCTGTGAGGTGCCAGCCAGGAACTAGAGAGCTGAAGTCCTCGAGGCTGGGTCGTGGGTAGAAGCCAGAGCTCCCTTGTCTTCAGAGACCTCCCTAGCCTTGTGCCCACGTGAGCAGTCCTGAGTGAGATGGACACCTGGGCATGGGGAAACTGAGGCTGAGGGTTCTGGAAGGGGAGCTGCTGCCAGGCTGACCCACGGTGGCCACCGTCTGAACCTGCAGGTATAACGGGGTAGACAAAAGGACACAACCTGAATAGCTCTGTCATGGGCAACAACCTTCACTTGGCAGCCAGGGCCATGCCAGGACAGCGGTCCCCACCACCACAGGGGCCAGCCTCACCTGGGCTTCAACTCCAGGACTTCCCAGACCCTGGGCAACCTCTGCTCTTCAACCCACTGACACTGGCCCTGCTCAGTGAAGGGCATGTGCTTTAAATTCTGGGTCTGTCACCCACTTGCTAGGGGAAGTGGCTTCACCTCTCTGAGCCTCATTTTCTCCCATCTATAAAAATGGGGATAAGTGATGCCAAACTTCTAGCACTATCGTGAGGGTGTAACATGCTTGACACCGTTCCAGGCACACAGTAGGTCTCAAAGAAGAGTCCCCACGGCAGCCACAGTGGAGTTCTCCTGGACTATTTCTGTGGACCTCTGCAGTCTCTCTCCACCTCAGGGCCTTGCAGTCTATAGGAACCTGTGTTTGGCTGTTCCCTGGCTCACAAACCTTCAATACCTCCCAACTGCCAACCTTCATTCAGTCATTCTGTCATTCAGCCATTCAACAAATACTGAATGAGACCTTAACTTGGGGAGCCAGAGTTCACCATAAATGAATGAGTATCAGAATTTATTGAGTGAATGCCTAGTAGCTGCCCAGGCTTTATGGTGAATTTTTTTGGAAACTGAGACTAGGAAGAGTGTGTTACTCACTAAGGCCATGTGGCAGGCAAGTGCCTGGGAAGACCTCCCAATGCTGATGCCATAGGCTGGAAATGGCACTGTTATATCCAGTCTTCCAGGTCAAGACCTTCCGTTCTAAGATGCACCCCTGGGAGGCCGAGTGGAGCTGTGGCGGGTCCCTCTGGGCCTTTCTCTTGCCGGTGTGGCTGGGCTGAGGGGAGTCAGCAGGGAGGCTGAATGTCCTCAGGGTCTCCTCTCTGGGCCAGGTTCCCGCAGGTCCTTCCCCTCTTGAGGTGTGGCAGTCCCAGCTCCACCTGAGGATCATCTGACAGCCTAAATGACTCACCTTCTTGGGATCTGTCTGGGTTGATGGGACTGGGGCGGGGGTACAGCCACGTCAGGGTGGCCCTAGGCAATGAGCGGAAGCCAGGCCTGCTCCCCAAGCTCTGGGCTCCCTGGGTCCCAGGAGCTACTGGGCTCTTTCTCTCCCTGACCCCAGAGGTGGCCTCCTCTGCAGGCTTTCTGGGGTGACAGGAATTGACTTCACCATCGCCAGATCTGTTTCTTTTCCTCAGAGAGGGATACGGGTGTGGGCAAAGAGTCCAGGCCTCCCTCAGATGCTGGTCCTGCTGCTGACCAGCTGTGTGACCTCTGCATGCCTCTGGGCCCTTATCTGTCAAGTGCGAATACCAGTGTGGTGAGGAGTCTGTGCCCTCAGGCCTGGAAAAAGAGCTTTGGTCCAAGGCCTGGCGCAGTAGGCCCAGCGAGTGTCTGTATTGGTATTGTTATTGTCCGTGATAGCAGAAGGCTGGCAGCCTCTCAGCCCTAAGACTGCTGTCTCCCTGAAAGCTCAGGGAGTCTGGGCATCCTGCTAAGTTCAGAGGTTAGGGTTCAGCCCTCAGCAGCAATCCTCTTGGCTGGAGTAAACATGAGGAAGGCCTAATGGAGAGCTTGTGGAGAGACCCTGTCCCCATCTCTGATCTCTGGGAAAGGGGAGCCTATTTAGCAGCTCTAATCAGGAAGCCCCTCTTCTTCCTCCCGAGGAACCCAGTACCCCTTCCTCCATGAAGTCTGTCTCCCTACACATCTCCCAACTCTGTGGGAGACTCTTCCAGAGCTCACAGATGTTCCGTCTTGGGCCTCTCCTGACCTCACAC